TAAACATTAAAATATACATATATATTTGAGGAGCAGGAGATGTATAAAAAAATGATAAAGCGGACAACACATTATGCGCTTAAATTCCTTTAAAAGTTACTTTAAGAAGTAATCGAATCAGAACCGGCGACCATACAGAAAAAGAAAAAAAATACTGATGTTGTAGTACGTCACCTACATGGAATGCTAAGGGAGGAGGGTTGTACATGTTGCAAAACTAGTTTGATCTTTGAGTCCACACAAAAATTTGTGTAGGTTAGTTTCTCAGAGGCACAAAAACATAAGTTGCCTCTAAGATTAGACATAACATATTTCAAATTTATTAGCATTAGATCATAATACTAAATAATCTACTAGGGTTGTTAGAACTTTTTAATGCGAGAATGACACAGCTTATAAAATAATATATATATATATATATATATATATATATAGTTGCATTCAAACTCGAAGCCCTGTACAGCTATAAAACAGAATGTAAGAGTTTCATACACAATAACATATATAATACTCGTTTTTTAACAAAAAAACTTAACTTGACCCATATAGGTCTAAGTCAATTACAATATGTGTATAGTTCCTTCTGGTCAAAAGACATGGCTGTAATAAAAGAGGAGCAATAGAGCTGCTATATGTGAGCGATGAAAACTGTCTTGCGCGACCGTACGACGAAAGAATTATTAATAAAAAAATATTTCCAATTGGAATCAGTTTCACCTGCGCAACTAACTTATACTATTTGATTATTTACGATAACTACTATTAGCACTTACCATTCTTTTTATTACATCTTTCTACAATACATTTATTTTTTGAGAGACCATTATCACAATGCGTGTGTTCATTTGATTTACTTATCTCTTCCTTGTTGTATACATATGTTTTTCATTTGATCGATAAATTTGCTTTAAGTGTACAAAAACCTGAGATGGAGAAAAGTAGCTCTTTTCGTTAAATTAATGAAATTTCTAGATGATTTATCAGTAGCAGAATCCATATACAGCAGTAGCCAAAGATTTATTTTTTGTCTCAAAAGAAAAGTAAGAACATTAGAAGTTGCTCGATATTTGAGGTACGTCTCGTAGGAATAAAGGCTACTGAGAATTATTACATTTACGAGAGATTTTACTCATATTTCACCTAATATAAATACATATTTAACACTAGGAATAAGATTTTTTTTTGCCTTTGCCTATACAAAACTTTGCGGCTTTATTTTTTCTTTTTTTTTATCTACTTATTTTAAGATCGAAGCCTCACAAAGACACTCGATACTCCATTATAATTTTGCTGAATGTAATTTTCTTAAACAGGAACATCCGAAGAAAACACGCAGTGTTTGCCTCATGCTGGAGAATTCTCATAATGGAAAACGATTTTCTTTTCTCAGTGGTGTTTAATCGGGCTCGAGAGAGTAAAGTAACGTGATGCTGCGTTTTCTGAGGCTAACGGTTTTTATATTCTTCGAATAAGTTTACAAGAGCAGTTTAGTAATGAGTCAAACAAGTTCAAAGGCGAGTGTGTTTTCTTTCGAGCTCTTAGTACTATAAATGATATTGTGGTTTTTAAAAACCCTTCCTTTCTTATCTGGTCTACTCGTGGGACCCTATCTCATAGTTGAATCAATAAGCTCAAACCCTTCAATACCAATACACCACGCATTAACGTGCATTTTCTATCTTGTGGTGAGAACTATTCTGAAGCGGCGTCGAACTTTACGAGGTCTCAGTAGGTATCTGCCGAAACATGTCTTTTTTAGAGGGATACTACAAATGTTTTTCCAAATCTTACTTGAAGCCACTCTCAGATTTACCTTTGCGATCTATTGTACCATTTTATTATTCCGTACTGTTATACTATAGATAGTATAGATTGTGGTGTCTTTGTTACACGTGCAGAAGCTGTAAATTTACTATGACTTATCGAAAACAGTTCCTTACCTAAAATAGATAACCTTGTAGATACAATTACTGTCAAAAACCAGCCATCTGACCGTTACTTTCTAAATATAACTATCACTATGCTATTATTTTTTCATATTATTAACTAAGAACCTCTGAGTAAAATGGAGGTTAAGGTGAATGGTCTCCAGTTTACGACTTCTGAGAAGAACCGATCAGAGTTGAAAGAACCTTCTGAATTCTTCTGGAGTCGCTGTCTAACTAGGCTCTGCCCGCTCTTAGCTTAATTATCCATATAAATGAGTTGTTCAATACAAATTAAATTAATGGTTCTAATGTTAATGGTATTTAATACTACTGCTTTATCTTTAAAACAATTCAGTCACCTTCAAATACAGTCTTGGGTTCAGGATGGGTTTATTATAATCGAAAAACTTTTTTCCGCTAAACTCAGTTTCATATGCCACAATGATGTTTGCCCTCTTCTCGGTAATATCGTTTAAAGATTTTCCTTCGAAGAGTAAAAAATTATATATATGCATATCCATTTGTTGTGTTTTTTAGGTGTTGCATTTTATTTAGGTTATAAGATTCATCGTGGCAAATGTCCCCAAAAAAATAAAGACAACTAGGTAATTTATGATGTATTGATGTGTGTGTTGCTATTTGATACCTAATCTAATAACACTTTTGTTAGGCAAATGTAATATTCTAGAATCCATATCAACGCAAGTTGTGTATGTGTGAAAGTAAACGCTTTTCTAATTTATATTATGTGTAATGAAAGGTCACCTTCATCTAAGTCCAGTATCATCCAAAGCATTTGAAATGTCATCCATATATTCTTAAACGTCACAAATTTAAAATAGTATCAATTACAGAGTCAGCAAATCTCAATACCAGTACCTGAACCAAATACTTATTAACATGGAGCGGCAAAGAAAAATCAGCTGCTACACCAGTAATGGAAATCTCAACTAGAGAGGCGCGCGAACAAAGCGGAAGGACTTTAATTTCATACATACTATTTCTTATATATATTTATATTATGGGCCCAGCCTACCCGACACTCTCTGCACTAAGCCTTACTATGACTGTGCGAAACAAGAACCGCAATATCGGCTCTTTCACTAAAAAAGCATGCAACTCCATGTGTTCAAATTCACGTTCAGTGTGCTTAGATGTATGGCAAGCTAGTCAACGACCACTGATTGTGTGCTTTCTTCTTATGTATGCGTATGTTCATTGAATCCTTGTATAGCTATTATTACTGTAAACGCACTGTGCTAAGCCACTCTGAATTTGCCATGAATAAACTAGTGTCTATAGCGTTTTTCAAAACTTTGGATAACTCCTCGAGATGCCAGGTATCTCGAGAGCTCAGTAAACAAAGCATTTTCCCAATGGAGGCACGAAACAGTTATATTGATACAAGCACTGATAACTGAGGCTTACGTAAAAATTACCCTTCCTCGATCTTGTTGGTCATCATCTACAAAACCGAAATATCCGCCTGTGGAAGAGATTTTGCGCCTTTTTTTTGATATATATTTTAAATAAGTCAATTGAGTAAGAGGATATGTTAGTATATATACGCTACACCATATATTTGACCACAAGGATACAAAATATGTATGTGTAGCTTTTATTTTTTTTAGAATGAAAATGTTTAGTAGGAGCATGGTGAAGTGATCTTTATGTGAGTTTGAGTATGTGAATTTTCGTAACTTAATCAATGCAAACTATATGAATAAAATATGATTCTCATGCGAAGGTGCCTTTACTGATTAAGCGGACAAAGCTAGGTAAAGCTGCACGCAGCTCCAAGAAGCAGTGCCACAGGTCTATTACATACCAATACACTGAAATCACTAATATCTTTCAAAACGTAGCTCTTGCGAGAGTATCTCTCTAGAGGAACAAACGCAGCTTCCGAGACCCGAGGTGAAGGATTATCAGCTTTTAGAATTTTAGGAAGACATTAGCCTTTCTACATAAAAAAATATTTGTTGCCGTACTCTAAATTATTTGCTTATCGGTTTCTATTTGCTCCTCAAAGACTGATCTCAAGTTTTTAAGTGCCCTGTGTAGTAAACAGAGCCCGCCTCTCGCCACGTTATCGGCCTCTCCCCTGGCCCAGCCAGAATCAGCATGCGCACAGCGTTCATTCACACACACCGATATATACACGCAGACTCATTCACTGGCGGCCGTAGTTTTGGTAAGGTGTTAGAAGAGATCCGCAGCAGCAAACCTCTGGATTGCATCGTAAGCGTCTCAATATGATGAATTGGCCGAAGTGCCGCCACAGAGAATCGGTTTTAAGCGGTTGACGCTAATTTAGAGTCGCACGAATCTGTTATACCAGCAACGTGACCCATCTCTCTCTATTTTTAGAACAAAAAGTAGACCTAGAAAAAATACTGACTCAAGACGGAACTAGACTTTTCTTTGAGGCGACTATTTGAATGACTGAATGAAAAGGGAACGCTCCTACCAACACTGAGACACCAAAGCGGTAATAGTAAAAGGAAAAGCTTAAGCGACTTTCCTTACTTTGGCGTACTAGCGGATTACATTTACACGGGTTTAACTAAACTATCCTTTCCCCATCAGGAAGTCATACGGCGCATCTGCGAAGAGCAGTATGGAGGTCGGCTGAAAGCAACGTACGAGTCTGGTGCTGTTTCTATTGCTGCTGCCGCAGGATAAGCGAAGCTATGCAGGTTTGTTTGTTGTGTTTGAGGACGCACTGGTATTCATGGTGGCGAGGTCTGTCTGAATGCGGCACCGGTTACCCGGGAGACGGCTCACCATGTGGCCACAGGGGCCATCCCTCTTTAGTACTGTGCGGTGCTGTCATACAGTAAAGAGCAGCTATCATTGTGTAGAGCTTGCTCCCTAAGTGACATTGTTTGATAGCTTTACTCAGCCACCACTACTAACAGCTAATCACAACAGTGCGTGTAGCAGAGCTGTCAGTTAGCTGGACGCTGGAGAAGGGCGCAATACCGCCCCTGTGTTTGTAAGTTCTACCTCCTGTTTGCCAGTAGTAGTAATAGTACATAGGATACGTTTATATCGGTAAGTTCTTCGAAACGAAGCCCACAATACCAAATTAATTGAGTCTCAAATATTAAAAATTCACCCACTTATTTATTGAAAGCGATGATAATATGACACAACGTGCCATTATTATTAAAAATTATTATCAAGAAATTGAGAACAGATAAAATTTGTGTGTGTGTAATTTATACCTCTCCGTATTATGATCTATTCAACTGTGTAACGTTTCCATGGGACGAATAATGTGCAGTGATATATAACATGGATGCTATATTTTAAGCGTCCGGCCGTTTAAGCTACGCGCTATATGGATGCAATGGGCGTCCAACACAAAACGAAACAAGTCAACCATTTTCTTCTTAATATAAGAAATCACAGCCGTGGCACAAAAAGTCGTAAGTGCATATAAAATACATTCTTGTTTACAGTTCATTACTCTGAGTTCTTTTTGTGATGGTGCCCTTCTAAAACAATGTAAAATGTGTTCTTTCGGCATGCTGACGAGCGGTGAGTGGGTGTGTGACGTTATTAGAACATCCGCACTGCAATAATAACGAAAGTGACACGCAGCCTTCCCTCAAGAAAGTGAGAGGAGAGGCCAGCAATTAAGGTAAAGGCCCGCCTGTATCTAGAACATGAATAATATTTTATCATGTAGATCAGTGTTAGAGAAAGGTCTAACTCGTAAATAAATTCGTAAGACAAAGAATCACATAAATAAGATGACAGCTTTCGCTGCTCCCGTTTTGTCTAGGTAGAGTTCTGTATAGGTTTACTTCTAGAATTTGTGGCAAAATCTAGGTGTTCTTTTTTTAATTTTTAATTGGTAATATACTCCAGTTAGATGACATTACTAATTAAGCCAATGTGCAAAGCTGTAAATCTGTATATTTTATTATAGTTTACTAAACTCTTCAAAGCTCTTGGTAGAAATATTTACAATTAGCTGGCTTTTTCTGGTTTCATTCTTCTAAAGAATAAAACTACATCTTTTGCAATAATTATAGGCGTATACATTCATTGAGGTTCTGCAAAATAATTCAAGTCCAGCGGTAGGTATCACATTAGAATAGTTAAGTCAACTCTTGCGTTATATATTGAAATACTACCGTTTTCAGCTTTTTGGGGGTCCCAGTATATGCTTAGGCTATGCAAGAGTGTGTCGCTACATTTCAAACCTGCTCGGTCCGTTGATTATCTGTGCATCAGGGACTGATGACTTTTACAGCGGCTGTAATAACTTTGCTTTTGTTGTGGATGCCCAGTTGCTTTGTGAAGCAGAATATCCAGCGACAAAAGGACGCTCATCATAGCTTCTTCATGTAACAAGATCTCTAAAAAAACTTCACTAAAAATTGCCTGAGTTAGTGATTTCACGTTAAATTTGCAAGAACAGCTTTTATTAATGCGTTACAATATACGATAATGGCTCGATGCTGGATTGCCATTTTATAGAAGACCATGAAGAGCTATGATTCCTTATCAGTTAAATAATAACTTGTTAATCCATTGTCTGCTAGTGTTGATGATTTAGGACAAAAGGTTATACAGTACAACAATTACATTTACACTGCTAGGCATTTTGTCATTTTACCCAATATACAGTTCCAATACTTTTGTGATTCCATTTGAAAATACTGGAACTCATATTATTTCGCTCGGTTTACACAATTCTAATACTTGCATAATTTTACTTAAGATCATTAGGATTATAAGTCCGCTCATTCGAAACTCTTTTCCATTCTAACTTACGCTAGGCCCATGCGAAGTAACTGCTCGTTGTTTATCGTTATCAATATAATGCAACAGGTGGAGTATATACTGTTTCCCAAACTATTTAATGGGACCTACAGCTCCCGAGCGAGACTGTCTTACATAAAACTGCAGCAACAGGCCACACAGATTTCCTCTAGTCGTTTTGAAGTATATCCTGTTATCGCGGTAGTACTCGGATTTTTGTCCTGCCCAATAGCACATGTTCACCGATGGAGCAGAAAAAACACACTTTGGCGGCCCTTCGTGGCTTGGCACATGTGCGCCCTTCTATATACGAACGTGCTTTAGTCCAAATTCTCTTTCCGGAAGAAATTGTATCATTGGATCACAAACAATTTTCCGCACTTAACATGTCTTTGATGACAGTTAAAGAATACTAAGCGTCCGCAAAATTTCGGGTTGCAATAAACGATAGAAGATGTGTCAATTTGAGTAAAAAACACATTTTAACTTTTTCGTTGTACAGCGACCGCTGCCAGTTGATGCGCCGCAAAGTCGGCATTGTTGTAGACGACACAGTTAAGCCGGCGGGCCGGCTCAACTTCGAACGTCGAGCCGGATGTTGCTTACATAACGCGGAAGTACCATCGTTTTCTGGAGCCGGTCTGTCACTTTTCCGGCATCGAGTCTCGGGCGAGTTGGACGAAGTCAATTCATGAAAAACATAACAAATATCCTAATCTCACGATTCTTAGAATGCTTCCCAAGCAAACATGAGCTTCATACTTTACTCCTCTGAACAGGACTGCTTGGCACTCACGAATTCGCTAGACTGTAGCCTCCTTGTGGCGACAGGAGAATTTTTTCAGCTAGTTTGTTTCCTCCGGAGGAAAACCAATGTACTGTTTCACTCTGAAGCTTCTCGCGTCTACTCCGCACCGGTCTCAAATCAGGCGCGTACCTCTCCCTGTAAATGTCTATGCGCCCCTTTGTGACCTGTTTCGGTGGCCTGTTCCGTTCTTTCGCGAGCTGCTCGCAATTCTCAGTCGGTTGCATTTGTAAAACAGCATCAGGGACGGCTCCCAGTCAGCCAGCCGTTTGAGCATGTCATTCGTGATTTCGACCATATCATCAGTCATTCGCTCTGCGATAACATAGTCGTAAGACTGTATACCTATATATATATATATATATGGGCCAAGTTAAATTCTTATGCCCACGTAATAATATGGGCTAGAATGAGAATATTGCTATAGCTGGTTTAATTTATTGTACATACTTATACTTTTTTCTAATCCTATTAACGCCAGGAACATCTAAATATCAGTATAATCGAAATAAATTCCGTCATCTACAAATTCAATATTTCAGCAGCTACTCGACTCGATGTTCATGTACTACTTCTGAGCTGAGCTAAGCATACACATCATGCTTACAACCGTACTAAAATGTATCTTCTTACTTATAGATATATATATATATATATATATATATATATATATATATAAGTAAAGGAATCACAAGTAGGCAGCAGAAGGAGTGAAGGTGATTTAATGAAAATAAAGGCGAATTCGACTTGTCATCGTTGCTTATTCTCGTTTGTTTGCTGTAGTCCTAAATGGAACGTGGTGCTGCCTAGCCAGAGCTAGTTACAACAGTGGGTGGGCAGGTGCTCATGTTAAGCACTGGCCGCCGTTCCGATATCATCCCATAAGTATGTCGACGGTCGCTTAGACGTTGGTTGATAGATCATGCGATAGACCGCTCGTTTATTCCCCGGCTAATCATTCAGTCAGCTAATGGTGACTACCAGAAAACAAACGGATGCTAAATCGAACGGCGCACAGGATTGTTCTGCTATAAACGGATACAGCAGTGCTAGTAGCTGTTGATGCCGCCCCATTTTCCACAACAACAACATTGTCAACAATGAACACACAACCTAGTGCTACACAACACGGTGTGAACGGATCCTATCAAGCTTCTATTAACCGCCACCTTTCTCCTGCAATTTATCTAGCTGGGTCGGCTGTACGCGGTTTTGCCACTTCCTTATCTTATTCATGATACTGATATATACCGGTACAACAGCTACTAATTCGTGTCACAGATTAGACTAATATCGAGACAAATAGAACACAGAAGTAGCTAAAAACGTACATCTATAGATTGATAGATAGATGACACAAATGAAGAAATAGTTGCAACAATGACAGTTTCTAGCGCCAACGTTGTCATCACGGACGCCATTGCGGTCGGTTTCGTTGTCCCACAGACAACAGAAGCAACAGTGTTAATATCCATTGACAGAAACACACAGACAACAAACTTATGAAAACAGACATGCTAACCGAGCTGGTCACTCATAATCTTGTCTCTGATACCTAGCTACCATAGGTTTACTGTGATTCTATACCCTACGACTTCGTCTGTTTCAAATAAGTCTGTAATTTTCTTTAACACATAATACGAACATCTCTCTGCCTGACATCCAGCATATTTTGTTAAGTGAGCTATAGCAGGAAATATAATACGACTCGTCAATATAGCGCAAAATGAAAACACTGAGTTTACTACACACTGGTGGTTAAGAGAGAGATTCCTTTCAAGAATCGGATACTAAGTCTATTAAACAATCCACTTGATTTCAAGAATGTCCACTTGAGTTGAGTCAAGCGGACACCAGATGGTCGGATGCAAAAATATCATTAAGTAATTTTCTGCTTATTTATAGGAAGAGTTATAACCGTTGCTGAAGAAAATTTTAGCCTATAAGTGTAAAACCATCTTTCATTTGCACTCATTCTTATAGACAAGTTTATCACTCGACCGTACAGCTGGGACTTCTAACAGCGGCATAGTCGATTGTTGCGTAGAAATTAGTATTGCGTTGAAGAGGTAAACAATATTATTCCAAAAACGCTGGGTAATTTTGGGAGCAATTTTGAAGGTTTCGAATAAAAAAAAATAACTAATGTTCTATTTACTTCTAATATGTTGAGAAAGCCAATGGCTTTTTTATCTGCTGGGATTTAGATATTTATTCCAACGTATCCAGCAAATAGTGTTCAGCTAAAACTCGAATTCAAAAAAGTTGACAGTTAAACTCCCCATCATATTGCATCCGAATCTGAGACGCATTACTGCCTTTTTTATACATTAAATAAAAGACAATATGGCATTTGAATCCGGACTCTACTTATAAATTCTTCCCAAAACTGAATCTAAGAAAACATCTTTCAATGATTTTTCTTACATGTGGTAGACGCGTCATTTTTAGCGGTAATTTTATTTAATATAAGCACCCTTTACTGAGACTGCACCTTTAATCAGAAATTTAAACCACTAGGTAATAATTTTCAAAATACTCCTTCTTAAATCCGTATATTGGTTGGTCTAAATTGGTTCAAATGTGCCACATAAAAACCTCCAGCTGATTTAGATTTTGGACTGATAAAACGACAAAAGTCTGGATAACTCAGTTAGCAACTTTTTGTTCCTCAAAACGGCCATTAATTTTCACATAAAATCTTCCTCTATCAAGAATTGCTTTTCGATTTTAAAGAATTAAATTTAAACCTTTATGAGGATCTTCACGTTTTCTTTTTATTTTATTTTTTTGTTTTTTCTTTTGAAGACGCGTGAAAGTAGGCAGTAAAATGTATTGCCAATTATGGTAAAGAAGTTTATATTCTGAGTGGGAACTCGTTCCGCGTGAAAATATTGCATACTAACTGATATGCCCTCAGATTGCGTATAAAATGCACTGTTTTCAGCGATGATAAATTTGTTGTTTTGTTCTAAAAAGAATTGGCTTTCTTCTAATTAAAAAAAAATAGCGGATCAGCGGAAGGTCGTTATGCCGAACAGTTGAACAAAGTTTATCCAACTTTGAATACCCTACCATGTATATTAAATTAAAAGGTAAGAGCTATTGTCTATTATCAGCGAAATAAAATTTCGGATTAACTTTTTCATCTCTATTTTATAATACCCAAAAAAAATTAAGAAGATAAAAAATTCGTTCTTAACTAAGACAAGTCAACGAAAAATGCTAAATCTCTGAAACATAATCCGATAAAATCCTTTAAAATACATAACAGCTTAAGAAATATTGATTTTGTTCCTGTTTACATTTGTACCTATAAGCTCCCATGGACTATTAAATATGAGGTCGCTACAGATTTACTTTCTTTTTGTTAGTTACAAACTTAGACTTGCTTTATAGCTTTTTCTACAGACAGGTCTAGTGAAGTCCCTATTACATTATAAGAGAGGACCGTCTTGAGCACTTGCCTGCACCTGAAAATGGATCTGTCGAAATATCAAACGAGTGGGTCTTGTATGTATCCGATCTCGCTTTTGAAGTGCACACATGAATCAACACGATATGGTTAGGAGACCCTATTAGTTATTTTCAGAAGGGTTTTTATAAAACAATTTTCAGATGCGAGTCCATTTTGGTATGCTGTTATTGTTCGCTAAAGTGGTTTTGGTATTAAATACCTTTTAATATCCAACTATATACGGTGTATGAGTGTTGTAAAATGCTCGTTGTATAAAATGCGATTAGTGGATTTTCTACGCCACTCAGTTGCACCAGTCACGCACAATGTGAGGTAAGTGCCTGTTTGAAATGTTACTTTTTTCGGTTACGTAAGCCAATTTCCTGGTCATTGGCCCAAGTACAAAATAGGTAGGGTGTTTAATCCAATTCTATCTGACTGTTCTTACAGGTGTAATGAATATTTTTTCAATGGACGAGTGGGAATCAACGCCATCTCTTCTGGAATTAATCCAGTCTACATACAAAATATGCCATTTCGCATGGTACAGGTAAATGCTTATGCAACTAAGTACTATTAAAAACTCTGCTTAGACATGAGGGTTTTTTTATTATACAAAAAAATGTGCAAATGATTTTTATCAGTTTATAAAAACCAAAATAAATATAATATAAGAAATAAATAATATCTAGCGTTCCAATCACCCACAACATAGATTATAAGTTTATACCTGGAGCGTGATTGGATATGCCTATGCTGTTGAGTTAATTGGCACACGCACGTACGAAAAGTGAACATGTGTTTAATTTTATATAAAAGCATCATTGGTAAGTATTGTTTAAATTCCTGTGTTGTCTAATTCATAGCATATGACATTGCTAATATATAGTGTATAAGTTTGAATATAAAGAAAATACAAATTAGATCGAAGTACAGATCGAATCTTGTACATTTTTCGTAATACTGTCTTTTCTGTTCTAAAATGATTTTTGCAAAGAAGTAAATTTCTCAGCAAAGGCTAAAAAATAACATCGGGTGGTCGAAAAAGCATTGACGTTTCTAAGCCAAAGTTGAAGCAGATATTTTTTATATTTTGAAACAAGATCATTGAACTGAATATGCACCACTTTGATCAATGATCTTCTGCCATTTTTTTCGGTAGCATCGTAATTTTATTATTATGGAACTCCTGTGGTTTCTGGGCGAAGGAATGTAATTTTTGCATCTCTTTATTGACAATAAATTTTGAATTATTACGAGGTTCTCCAGCGACTGAAAAAGATGAAAATATGCCCTGAATATATGACAGTTTCCCATCCAAGTTTTGTTCCGTTTGGCCGGGTAGCTAAATGTGTACGTGGTGTGAAATACGGCGCCCCTTCTGTACATTAATTCCGATTGATTCTTCCCAATGGCTTATTATAATCTCAGTAGGGGTTAAAATCAATCGTTTATTCAAGCCGCTCACAATGCACGATTATTTTCCAATCGCACAAAACACATAGCGTCACTTTCTCTCATTTCAGTCCGGAAGCTGCCAGAGATTGTGAAGTACATTTATTTATGTGTATAAACTATATAAATGTGTATATATGTGCATATATTATATGTGATTTATTATCTGTGGTCATCTCAAACGGCTTGTATTTGTTGCTTTTCTATGGAGTTTCGCAGATAGGAATACGATCAAGTACATTTTTTGTGTCAATTTATGTGGCATCCATATATCGAGCTTCTTTTGTAGCCAGCTTTCTTAAAACGATTCAAAACTTTGATGGTGAATGTGTATTTCCTCGCCTATGTCATAACTACTCACGTATAAAAGTTGCTGAATTTTCGCTATAATTTAACAACTTTTTTCGTAATTGGGCGACCACTTTGAGGAGTACCTTTTGTATCGAAACTTCCGTATCGATAGCGACGGAACCATCTTTGGGCCATTTCTTTCGGTGGCGCATTTTAACTATAAACAGCACAATATTTTAAGAGCCTGAATGAATTATTGTAATAGAATTATCAAATATGGCAAATTTTTTCGAAAACTTCACTCATTTCCAAGGTGTTTTATCCTAAGTCTCGATAAAAACCTGCCAAAGATTTCAGCATATTCATTACTGTCAGATTGCAAATTTCAAATGATACCTACGCTGACCCGACGCGGCCCATATTACCTGCAATATGTGGTATAAGATCCATCCAGCTAGGAAAACCGTTGATACCTTTTCGATGACCCAGTGTACCCCTCGAAGATCTCTTTATTGTGGCACGACACAACTACATAATATAGATAAAAAATATGTTAATATAGGAATGATAATAGCCAACCTAACGTATTATATTATGCTAATTATTGTAATGGGTTAGAAAACCAGAGGGCCGCGAGACGCTTTTGGCATCTCTAAACACAGACCTAAACTCCATGAGTCAAGTTACCTACAACGAAGTCATCTTACTGGTTGCTACTGCCGTTGCTTTTACGATCTTCAGAAAAATATTAACTAAATGTTTACTAACGGTAAGTGACATGCATTTTCTTGTGGAGCTGATGGTTCGTTATATTCGAAATTGGTTTTAGTAATTGGAGTAGGCAGTAGGTCTAGCTATTATGAAATTAGGGGAACGATGATTTCTATTACTGATAATTACTATGCTACAGTTGCAAACATGAATGTTGACCCTAAATATAACAATTACATGATGTCTTGTAGTTATAGGACAAAAAGGATTCCCTTTTCTTAGGTAGCCCGCTAGAGCTATACTCATATATTGAAACAGAGGTGACAATGTTTCTAATGGAATAGCAGATTTTACGTATCGCACGTATTGATTTGTAGAAAAGCGTTTTGTTAGGCATTTTGAAGTACTAGTCAGTGTTGTGATACGGTAATTAACATGCATATTGCTTTTCACATATTGAGGATACATATGTGCTACGTAAGAAATGAGCATCCATACGAAATCCAGCATCTTACAACAGAACTTCATCGTGTACAATTTATTCAAGATTCTTTTGTATCTTTTATTGACATTTGAAACGCGATGGTTTGGCATAACCTAATTTATTGGATCACGTACTCGGCCGGCGTGTCATTTCTCAACGCAGCCAATGGCCAAGTGGTTGAAGCTAGATGAAAACAATGTGGTCAAGTTTCCAGAAAGTGGTTGGAAGTTCATGATTCATGGGGGCCTATGGTTGTACACGTTTTATATCCTGATGCTTTCCGGTAGGCACCAATTCTTCCATCGACCATCGACAGTCTGGGACGGTAAGAAAATGCTAACAATCGAGAAATCCTTATAGACAATACCATTAGTGACAAATTGTTTTAAAACACTTCAAGCCACTTTTTTTCTCACAGAATATAAAACTACGAGAAATATATCTATGCATAGGTGTAACTCATCTTGCTTACTTTGAAGTCGAACCTCGAATCTGTTTCATATATTTTCTTTATGATTCGAGGTGTCGTAAGCAAGATCAGCTATTTCTGAACTGCTTTGGCCTCCCTTTGTTATACGTTTGTGGTTCACTATTGCAACTCCAAGGAGATCCTACAGAGAATCTACTGGTTAAAAGTTGGGACCAACCGAAAAAAAACTGTAAGGAAAGGAATGAAGGCACACGGTTAATTCTACCAATAAGAGTAAATAATAACAGAATTATTACGTACACGTAAAGACGCATATACTTTTAATCAATTTTTTTATAGATGCCATGTAGCGTTTCATCTGACTTCTGCAACAACATCAGCTACGGTGTAAAAATAGGTCGAGTAATTTTTGGCCAATAGGTATGTATAAAAATGTTGAAATAAAAATGTCGTTAGAATCTGTAACTTAATTCTGTTTTTAAATCGGAGTATTATTTGAATAAGACAGCGTATTTATTGCCTTCATTAGCACATGTTGCATAAAACAGTAATAAACTTACAAGAGCTTTCCTTCTATCCGTGAGAAAGATAGATGACCATGTTGTAAAGCTGTCTGTAACGCATCTGTTTATTTAGTAAGATATTTGACGAATTGTCTAGATGTGCAAATATCCATACGGTTGCTCACGTGCAAGGTATCGGGCAAACAGATGTTAAATGAAAAACCCAGTTATGGAAAATATAATAAACAAACATGGAAATTGGAATACATCAAAAATAAAACGCAAACAAGAATTTTGCCATAAAGCAAAAAGACGTACAGGATATTAAATAATATTGTTGCAGATATTTGATAATACTTTTAGATTTTTATAGAAACATATTGTTAGATCAAAATTTATCAGCTATAGCACCCGGACAAAAGGTGTTGAAAACGTATAGTAGGATCGCATTTTATAATAACTGTGATACTTAATTCATGTGTTCTTCTCTCGTGTAGGATGGAGCATGGACATGGAAATCCAACGAGATATCTACGTCATCTACGTGCTTGAAGGCGCCTACTATCTCCACGGGTTGTACGCGTTATTCTTCTATGACCTGCGGCGCAAAGACCGACAGGTGATGGTTGCCCATCACGTGATCTGCGTTTTTCTTTTGTGGCTCTCCTACGTACAGCGGTACGCCTAGCAAAATAGAACATTTTTGTAACTTGTCGTTACTTAATATACGATATTTAATGTTTCTCAACATTTGACAAGATCGGCAAAAAAAAGTCTAGCGGAGTTACGTGCTACAACTTAGCCGATATTGTCGTTAAACTCTAATTACGAAAAACAATGGAAATTTCATCTTTACGACTTTTTATATATAATCCAGGTTTCTACGATCCCAACTACAGAGCAATCCAGAACAGCGGCTTTTTGCCACTGATTACTCGCTGTTTTGCACTACTTTTTAAAATACATCTAATAATCTACAGCCTATACCGTCGGTGGGCTAGCTTATTTTGACAAGCGGCTTTGAACCTCAATGTTAAGAAGTCAAAGCGGAACGGATATAATTCTGTATAGTAAGCACAAAGGTACAGTAAAAATGAGAAAAAAGTGTTTCCGCGACTGTGTGCGCTCTGCGTTTAAGCGGACTAAATTTGCTCTCTGGCAACAGAATGCGATCGTATTTAATGTAGGCATATTTTACACATCTACAACTGGTAATTGACAAAAAAAAAATTACTTAGAAGACTATGGAAAGCCTTAATGAGACGGTGCCACACGTACGCTAACTGAATTGAACTGAATTCATCTAATTTATTTGAACCTAATTACTAGTTTCTAGTTTTTACCCTAATTCTAGTTTTACGCCTGGTACAGAACGTTAACATTGGTTAAGACAGCTGACCCAAAACACGAAGCGTAGCTGTTCCTTGACTTAAACCCATATTACCTGCTATGTCTTAAAAATTGGTCAGAAAATTTGTTACTACTGATATCATGGCAAAGATATATTCGAACCTAGCACATCCATGTTTTTTTTTAAACTGTGGTTTCTGAGTGTGAAAGAAGCTGCAGTATTATAGGTGCACCTGGCAGTGCTATTTTTGTCGATTTCATTGGAGTTACACGTTAAATAACTTCCAAATCGTGTTTCCACACAAAGCATTGATAAACCCTAACAAGGGTATTAGAGTTAAGAAAACAGACCCCTCGTCTATAATATCGCAGTATGTACAGAAATGTAAAGGCTAAATGTACCTAGCCAGTATTAAAATATACTCATATTGAGGCATTTCGCTAAATCGTTCAACCAAGGCGCAGTGCTTTCTTTTAAAAAAAATATACAGGTCGGAAAACAACAAAAAACGTCGCATTGACTACTTGAAACTTTGCAATCGCGGTTATATCTAGCGTGGTCATAGTTACGCTTGAGCTTAATGTTTGGTTCGAAAGTATTTACCGGTCAGGTAAGCTATGATAAGTACAGGAGAGTTCAATCGTTTATATATAAAACAGTTGCATCTAATGCTATAGCCTACTAACGGTCTGAACGATAACTTTGATGGGTTATTGATATAGTACGCAATGTAGTATGGTTCACCATTGATATACGCCATGAGAGATGTAATGCTAGAGCGAACTTTTGATCGGTCCACGCCTTTTCGTTTTTAATTTCTTTCTGCTTTGTACGGGATAAGGGCGATATTTTTATTGTTTTAGTCACGATATCTATTCAAACAGCTCTGAAAAATTGGTGTAACTTTTTTCTCCTTAAAATCCTGCGTATTTAACAGCCTTATTAACTCAGTTGAGCAAGCGAACGACTCCTGCCACCACCAACTCTGTCATCTCATTTGACCCTTGGCTCGTTCTTGTTGCTGCTGTACGTTGACAGAATAGGTTGCTGTTCCTGATAATGATCCTAGGTGTTAGCCCATATTTCCTCTTTACGTTGTGTGCATGTCGCATTCATCTAACGTTACTGCGTGCATGTGTGTGTGCGTGAACAAGCGAGTAGAAATTCAGAGTACTCTCGTTTTATCTCATTTCTAGTTTAACTCATTCGTTAGCAACCTTCTTCTTTCGCTATTTCATAATGGTTCGTGGTTCACCAACCAAGTTTTTAAATAAATAAATTTAGCGTATTATTAGTTATTGAGCATAACACGGTGATTATCTGAACGTTTTTCACTTCCTTATATCATATAATACACATGGTTGCGGAATACCCTAAAATCATCCAAAGTGTTCATCTTTATGGTCTATGTCCTAGTTGAGGTAATTATTCTCTATGTGATCCAGATGGAGATTCGTCTTATTGTACAGCTATTCGTAGTTAAGAAGCATTTGTGTTTTAGTAGAGGCATGAAAAAATACTGACTATGGCAGCATTCAAATGATAAATATAGACCTTCAAGAACACTAATTCCGAATAAATTAATATCGAAGCGTGCCGATTACGTACACAGAATGCACCGCTTCAGTTAGAATAAAATTGACCTTCTCTGATTATAAATTGCATGTAAATGAAAACAGATTTTGGGCTGAAATCATTTGTACGTGCCAATACGGACATTCATCAGAGACATGTTTATTTATTGCACTTGCCATTCGCTTCCATTTATTCATATTCGAATGATTAGAAGCCTAGTTTAAATTTTCGCGTGTTCGCCTCGACGATACGTAGCTTTGTTCAATATGATGCTGATTCATGATCTTTCATTTTTCATACAGTACCTCACCACGTTCCATTTGTCACAATTTTGCCTGAACGAAAGTGTAAGAACATGACGCCATCCTCATTAGTACAGATGATTCTTACGGCATGGGTTTTTGCTCAACTCAAAATACTTACAGTCGTAAATAAGCCAAAAATTTCTTCTCCGGATGATTCCTGAATTCTTTTGTGCGGTGAAAATTCTTTTGTCGGAGAAGAATCAACAATGACCGAATGGTTCATCATTTATAAGCGAAAAGATTACCTTGTTTTTGTGAGAACAACTGTTTTTCTTACACGAGTGAAATCATTAGAGTCTGTCGAATTCGGTATGTCACAAAGTGAACTTCATACTCACCCGGAAAAACACATTAGCTTTTACCGTGAGCATCAAATATATAACAGAATATTTCATAATTACGGTTATCCCGCAGAAATTCTATAAAGGAATTCTGCCAGGCAATGGAGTAATTTTGCGATAGTATCTTAAAGTATTAAGAATAAGGAAGTGGTAGGAATTAGCAATATCGCTAAACCGCATTTGCAGAACCTGGCGAGTTCTGTTGGACCTGCCTATCCTAGATAATTCTCGATACATAAACAGCGCTGCCCGTCCATTATGAAATGTCAAGGCAAAAAGCAAGTCATACAAGTGGTAAATACATGACACACTAAAGAGCCGCCACAGGACGTTGATAAGCCGTGAAGCCACGTCCTGTGAAAATGCTGGTCGTTTCAATGCGGATCGGGACGGAGTTAGCCTTTAGTAAACATCATACTCAAGAAATGGGAGAAATAAAGCTTTATTAGATTTCATTGCGAAGGTCCGCACAAAGTTACCTATACTTTTTTTTAGTACTATGGCATTTACTATGATCAGCCTTTTTAGCATTCGTTCAATCTGATTGCGTTAGCTGAACCATTTTATGGTTGAGCTGGCACAACAGCACAATTGGGGTAGCGTATACAACAATAGATCCCAATTATTTGAGTTTCAGGTGCCATAACGTCGGCATCCTCGTTGTGTTTTTACATGATGTATCTGATATTCTGCTCGAATTGGTGAAAATCTTTGTACTGCTTCGATCTCGCCAAGGCATATATTATCGGGTCTGGGGAATCTTAGCATTGATATTCTTCGCTCTGTTAATCATCTCATGGTAAGTCGTCTTCTGACAATTTAGGTGACATGTAGTGTAACACAGAAAAGTCTGGCTAAAAGAAAATTTAGGAAACATAGCTTAAATAGCTTGTAACATTACCCAGCTACTTGGTAATTATAAATAAACAAGATTGTTATGTGTGTTGTTGTTAGTTTAACTGACTCTATTATCAGAGCTACAGACAATTTGATGGAACTATAGATCAAATTGTTAATGCATCGTAAATATCATGTTACCCTGTTGCTCAAATGCCGTTATCAGGTTGCGGCTACCAAGCTATCCTATTGAACTGTCTTTGTAGCCCTGTTACCTTGATTATCTTATTACTCTGATCTAATGAATGAACTAATGGTTCGTCATTAATCCGTCCTAACCTTAACTATGGCTCTCATGCTCGCGCACTCGGTACAGTTACCCCGTTACAGTTCACTTAAAGTGTAATGTCAGTACTATCTGCGCGGTGATGTAGTGGTAACGTGTTTGTCTACTAAGCCTAGAATACGTGCGATAGTCTAGGTTCGAAATCTGGTGTAGACGAATGCGGTCTTGTACTGGAAAAGGTCAGCCGACTGAAGCTGTATATAACGGTGGTACTAAACATAAAAACTAAAACATTTGTTACCTATATTGCATTAATTGGACCATAAAGTCGAAACACATTTGAAGACGCAATTCCATCAAAGCCCTGAGAAATCAAGTAAAAAGAACAAATTGTATTGACCAGCGCATGGCGATTACAATATACAGTGCAAAATTATACTTCACACGTAGATTGATGTTGTTAGGTTCATACAAAGGAATCTATGAAAAACTGAAGCTTAGAAAGTGTAGAGGCGACCCAAATTTGGCTTTATTGACAGCACATTTATTATAAGACAAATATAATTAACATAGTACTCATGCATACAACTGCTATAGTAATAAGGTAAAATGTGCGCCGATCATTCAAATGCGTCAAAATTCTTCGAAGTTCTACAAATATAGGGATGAGCTCGTGAAATTGACAAGGTTTGATTCGCTTTAGGAGGAGTGGAAGTCGTAAAATTAAATCAAAACTACAATCAGTTTAATTGAGGGCAATTAGGTAGTAATTAAGGGTGGTCGACAAACTTTTAGCTTAAAAAATAAAATAAATTAAGATTAACTTAGCAGATACCAAGTGGATACCAAGTAAAGTAGTCGAGAAAAGTCGCTCCTTAGTGTCACATAGGTTGTACTATATATATCATATGTATGTACATCACATACCTCATAGGAAGATACATATAGAGGTATATACTGTTTTAACTGTTTGCTATCCTATCTGTACTGAATTAACTAATAAACATCTAAATGGAGATACCCAGTATTTTTGTGACAGATTTGTCTATTTGGCGTGGAACCGTCCAGATTATTCGGGAATACGCAAGTTACGATATTATTTCCTTTAATTTTTTAAGATTTACAGTATTATAAATAATAATTGACTTAAGTTTTTTTAAGTCTATTCCTGACAGTTGATTAAGAAAAAGTATTTAAAAGACCCCGGTAAATTTATAGACCATTGCATAGAAGGGAGTTTCCTCTCATATGTATGGCTTTGAAGTATTCATCCTCTAGTGAAAAAACCTTTAACTACATTTACAATTTAAAACCATATTTTTCGAGAAGATTATTAAATATAAGTGAACATTTCACTTGAAGTTAATATGTTTCAAGATGATTTTCATGATATCTAAAGCTTCACAAAACTGACTTCAATGCTGTTGTCCATTATGATTTCGATTAGTTGTTGTATTGGATCTGCCTTCATTTTTTTTGCAGCTTAATACGGACCTAGGCAACCACTTCTATTTTTATAGAATCATTCGGCTAAGATTTAGAAAGATACCTACGAATATGAACGCTTACAGTACTTTTTGGAAATAAAGTTGCGAAAATCAATGATTTTTGCCCTTCATCTTAACAACATCAATGTCCATTGAGATGTTATTTTTATACGCTTCGGCACTGGACGTGTTCATGCATACAATCGTTTCCTCCGCGGAGCGGCCACATGATGCTTATCCGATCTTTTTTCACTGGCCTTGTATGGAATCTGAGAAGTGTGCAACAATTAAGATATCAGTGACTTCAGTAGGAAATTTCATGCATGAAAGGATATAAGAAAATATGGTGAAAAATAAAATGTACTAAACTTGTATACCCAGTACATAACTCTTGGTGTGAGCTTACCTTATGCACGAATATACGTATGGATTTACAATGATAGTGAGGTGATATTAATTAAGAAATTCTTTACAATAACTATGGAAGACATAATTAACCTATTGAAAGACACTGTCTAGACTGAAAAATACCATACAACTGGGCGTGTTGTCGACCATGAAGGAAGTCATTAAGAGGGGTAATTGAACTACAGCACTGTATAAGTGAACTTAGTGGAAGAAAGGAAGGGACGACGCCCACCGAATGTTTATAGATTGAGTAGGTGAACCATGACTAGAACAGTAATAGAGAACGGTGTTGAAAACGGGTTAATGAAAAATCCGAAGCCGATTCGAAAGAAGTGAGTTATATAAATAAACAAAGTAAAGCTGAAAGTAAAATAAATCATTAACGGTGATAAAGTGCTAATACTGCTCTGGATCTTTTTAATGATTATGTGTCGCTTTGACGTCACATAGTCGAAGTAACATGTAACAATTATAAATGCTATGAAAGATGAAAGGGTAACTTGATACAAGTGAACGGATCTCTGACATGTTTTAGTAGCTTAAGTCAATCAAAGAAGGCTTAAAATAAGAATTACGATAATATCTAAGCAGTATCCAGGTCCGAAGCAAAGTGTTGGCTCCAAATGGGCTCGAACCACACGCCTAAGTGATGAAAGTGATGAAGCGGAAGTTATGCAGCGTATCCGCACAAGGCCTCCGTTTAACGTCGTTGTTGCCGTAAAGTTAAAAATATACAATACTTTAGGAGACCATTGTAACATCTAATTGCACAAGGAGCGAATTAAAGGGTGCTCAGACTAGGAGTACAATTTTACTAGTTGTAATAGCTTCTTTCAGAAGTACTATGCTGCTCTCTACTTGATGGTGCAATGATTACTTGTTTCTCTACTAAGATAAGTAGCGACATGGAAATGCAATCGTCTAGGTTCGACGCCGGTCATTATAACCGAACACACTTTTATAAAGGAGGAAGCCGGCCATATGAATGGAGTGTGCTGCAGCCTTTTAACATTCTGGGCTATTTTTCACGTGGAAACGAAATCCCCTTTTCGGTATAACATGAAGTATTTTTACGCCGGTGTTACTGTATTGTACACACTTTAGTACCATTGCTATTGGGTAGAAAACATGCATTGTTATAAATATTTTAACGCCACATATCTTAGGGGTAAATGGATGTTACTAGTTAAGGGTAACCTGAAGTAAACAAAGCCTATAACAGAAAAGAACTTAGAACTGTCTAGTATTACGTATGATTTCATATTTCTTTCCTACATATTTTTTTGTGTGAGAATTACAGGGGCACAGAAGTGCTGCACGCTACATCAACCAAATCGGATCATTTTTTCACCCCTGAATTATGCAGGTTTTTTGTAAATGGCTCATAGTTTTGGTCCTAGATATTGTTCCAATCAAATTCGTGAGATTTTTCTAACGAAATGAAAGCCCCGTGCTTTGTGGTTGGCGGTCAGTCTATCCTTACTTTAGACAAGCTTAGACGACAAAAACATGTAAATGAATCTTCGGTCTGTAATATGTTTTTGTCGTCGTTTAAAAAGGTGAAAAGTAACTTTAACCGACCTTGCTAAATTTCATATACGAACAGCTAACATGGGCACCTATCAGAAGGACGTAAGAACAATACGAAATAGTTTCTTTTAGATACTAAAGTGTCCCATTTTTAGTATGCCGTATATTTTCTCATTAATATACAGTGTAAAGCATTTCTTAATGCGATGCAAAGATTCTCTAAATCATTCGTAAGGTCTCGCAAAGCACATACAACGGCAGGGGTATATAATACAATACGCGTTTTAGGACAAGATCCTTCGACCATTGCTCAGCGCAGAAAATTCGTTCAATATTAAACACCGGGTAATTTTTAGCGCTCATCAATTTAATGAAAGACAGCCAAATAAAGTTTGGCTTGCCCGACCGCGTCTAAATGGAAGAGGCTGAGAAAGCTAGATCTGTTTTTACATCATTGCTTCAAGTATTCAAACAAGTAAATGGCGTCGTAATAAGATGTTTAATAACACAACAAGAAATAGAAATAACGAAAAATAAATGTTATCTAAAAGCTTAAAAATATACCATCGCTTTTCACAGATCTGATATTTATACTTGTTTTTGGGTACCTCTATGTCTGAATATTCACAATAGTTTATAAATCAAATGCAGCTAGCTATGCCACGCTTCGCCTCATCTGTATTATTCCTTATCGAGATTTTTTTCTAGTTCATATTACTTCAAATTAAATCGATTGTTTGCAATATCTTTCCCTTCTACCTTCTTTTTAATGGATGGTCTAAAAACCGAATTTTGTGGTCGATAACTTGCCTGTCAATTGTCGTAATTTAAGTTATGCCAAAATCCTCATTTTAGACAGTGCTATGGTCAAGCGAGCAAGTGATCGCTAATGCCAATGTTTCAGACAAGAGCTCAAATGCAGTCTTTCCTTTTGTATTCCTTCACCTTCGGTGGAAGTCAATATTTGTACATCTGTGTTTGCAGTAACATTCTTGCACGGAAAACATAAAATATAAATTGTACTTGTTTTGTGGTGGAATTGCATTTTGACTCTTCAGCGATAAAATGAAGCGATGTTTGGTGCTAACTCTTTCTGACTGCAGTCTCGCCATTGTTCATTCACTTTTCACGGTAGTTTGTTTATTCATCTATGGCAACGATAATAACGACACAAATGATGATCTTGTTGTTACTACTGCTAACCTATTCAGCCATTCGATTGACGTGCACGGCTGAAACGTCGTATGATAC